TCAACCTCAGGGAAAGACGTTGTGGTGACTCAGCTGGACCATAGTACCTGTGTACCAGAAAGTGAGTCCTCACCTGTGGTGTGACAAAGTGTCTTTCTGGTGAGAAGCAACACACATGTCTCCTCACCCCAGATAGGACACACAGGACAGACCAAAGTGAAGATACCACCAAAGTACAACTTGGCGAACTATGAGTCTCCCTGGGGTTGCTGACAGGAATACGGGAGAGTGGTTCCTCCCAGGAGCAGAGATGACTCAAAGAGAGCTGCCGCATCAAGGTGACAGCTCATGAAGCTGGGAACCTGAAGTACACTGTAGACAGCTCAACAGATTGGAGAGGGTCCTTCCCAGATGTGTCAGTTGGTCGAAACCTCTTCCAGGCAGCTGGTACGGAGCCTTTGCAGCTTAACTCTGCTCAGTCTGAAAGGGATTCTCAAAGTTAGTTAGTTAGTTTATTTATTTATTTATTTATTTATTTATTTATTTATTTATTTATGAATCTGATTGGTTTCAGGGACTTGTCTGAGCTCTTTTGAGTTGTTTACCTTCCTGATTAAGGAGCTCCCCTGCAAGATGGAATGTTTTCAATCTCAGGAAACTGTCACACAAAATCACTACATACTAAATCTGTAAGCACCTTGATCTTGGACTTCCCCACCCAGAAATGAGAAATTCCTGAGCTTTTTATACTAACTAGTTTGTGGCATTTCACTATGGCAACCCAAGACAGATTAAAGCACTGTCCACATACATATTATAGTATTTCTTTTATAAAATATTTATTATTTGCTGAAGAATAGTCCTCTTGTACACTATAAAGATTTGTCACTCAAATTGGTTTAATAAAGCACTGATTGCCAGGCTGTGGTAGCGCACATGCCTTTAATCCCAGCACTCAGGAAGCAGAAGCAGGAGGATCTTTGTGAGTTCAAGGCCAGCCTGGTCTACAGAACAAGATCCAGGACAGGCACAAAACTACACAGAGAAACCCTGTCTTGGAGAAAAAAAAAAAAAAAAGCACTGATTGGCTGATAACTGGGGGTAGGAAGTTAGGCAGGAAAGCCAAACTGAGAATGCTGGGAAGAAGGAGGGCAGAGTCAAGGAGGCACAGAAGAAGGCACAGAAGAAGCAAGATGAGAATGTCATATTGAGAAAAGGTACCAAACCACGTAGCTAAACATAGATACGAATTATGGGTTAATTTAAGTGTAAGAGCTAGTTAGTAATAAGCCTGAGCTATCAGCTGAACATTTATAAGTAATATTAAGCCTCGGAGGCAATTATTTAAGAAGCGGCTGCCGGGTATTTGGGAATAGGAAGGCAGGAAAGAAACTTCTGCCTTCAATTATTTATTATGCCTGTATGTATACCTGCATATGAATGCAGGTGCCCATGGAAACCAGAGGTATTGGATGCCCCTGTAGCTGGCATTACAGGCAGTTGTGAACTGCTCAGTGTGGGTGCTGGAAGATAGCATGTGCCCTTAACCACTAAGCCTTCTCTCCATCCCCTATATTATAATATTTCTATTTAATCAATTCACATGAATTCTTTATATAATATAATCAAGAAAGGGTTCTATTTTATTTTTAAATTAATTAAAATTAAGTTATTTAAAATTTATTTGTGTATGTGGGGGGGGGGGTTCACGGAGGTCAGAGAGGGCATTTAGATACCCTAGAGCTGGAGTTACATGCTGTTGTAAACCACCTGACGTGGGTGCTGGGGGCTGAGCTCCAGTCCTTTGGAAGAGCCGAACAGGATCTTAACCACTAAACCAGCTCTCCAGCTTCCAGAAGGGTATTTTAAAAATCATCATATAGGGCTGAAAAGATGGCTCAGAGGGTAAGAGCACTGGCTACTCTTCCAGAATTGAATTCAATTCCCAGCAACCACAGGGTGGCTCACAACCATCTGTAATGAGATCTTATGCCCTCTTCTGGCCTGCAGACATCATACATGCAGGCAGAACACTGTATACATAATAAATAAATCTTTAAAAAAATCATTATGTAGTGTTTGTCTGTTGTCTTTCAATTTATAGATTATTTTATTATCTACTTACAAGAAATGGATTGATTTTCTTTTGAAACCCATCTGCTCAGCTAAAAGAATTTGATTGGTAATAGCCTTTTATGTTCTAGCAATATGTTCAATGAAGAGGCCATGGCAATAGTCATAATAGTGTGGGTCCTGACTCCATTAAGTGTTTAGTAAATGTCACTAACCACTGAACAAAATAAGCATTGTGACAGAAGATAATTGTATCTATATTTCAGCAGGGTTAATAATTGACTGGAGGCCCTAAGTAAGTTTCTAAGATTCTCTTATCTGATCCAAATAATAGAGTTTGTTGTTGTTGTTGTTAGATTGTTTTCTTCTATTTTTTTAACAAGTTCTATTTTCTTTGTTTTCTATAAACACTAATAACATTATTCTGAGGCTGGGAATATAGGTGTGCACAACCACACTCAGCTGTCACTATTAAAACATTAATTGTAAAATTCAATAGGAGAAACTATGATTTTTCTATAAATGTCTGTAGGACCCTGTCTGAGTTAGGGTTTCTATTACTGCGACGCAACACCGTGACCAAAAGGCGAATTGGGGAGGAAAGGGTTACTTAGGCTTACACTTCAGCATTGCTGTTCATCACTGCAGGAAGTCAGGACAGTGTTGTGGACCGCATGGCGACCATTGCTGCTTGACAGAGTTCCAGCATTTTGACATTGCAGACCACACTTCTCCAGCACCTTTTTTACTTTCATTTTTAATGATTCTCACTATTAATGCCTTTCCCTTTGGGAAATTTTGTGTGGGCTTTGGTAAAGGATGAAAATGTGTACAATGGTGGCTTCTCTAGACAAAAAAATTCTATAGAAAAAATCCCCGCCACCGTGGAACCAGGAATTCCATTGTGCCTTCCTAATTACACCAAGAACAGGAATGTTTCAGATTTACTAGACACACCTGATCCCAAGGATGAAATGCCTACCGTTCAGATCCAGACTCTGAGGCCATGAAAGGCAAGAGTTCGGTTCATAAATACAGAGAAATCAGAATGGTATGGTATAATGGGAAAAGAGTAAGACTCCTTTTGGGGGTGTTATGAGGGGAACAGGCCCAGATGGTATAGTGTCTGCTCCCCAGAAGAAGTCCTTTTCACAAGATCAGGTATTTGGATAAGGGTCTCCATTTCCTCAGGGGCTTGAGGAAAGTTCCTGCTTGCTAAAAAAGGAGACTTTCTTATCTCTAGCAAGAGGACCTTGTGGTCCTTCATTAACATATGTATCAAGGTCAAACCTAAATTCCTCAGCCCCTGATCTCCAGCCACACCCCAGCTCACATGCCCCTTGTCTTCGATTTAATTCTATGTGCAAACATAGAGTATAAAAGGTGTAATCTTTTTTTCAATTAAAGGCTGCTGGCAGCCATGCTGATTCACCCCCAGATCATGCCTGCCCCCCCCAACTCCACAAATCCTCTTTAGGACCTGAACCCCTACCCGAAGTAGGTCTTTGGCAGGATCCCAGAGGCAGGAGCTGATGCACAGGTTATGAAGGGGAGCTGCTCACTGGCTTGTTTCCCATGGCTTGTTCAGCCCACCTTCTTATAGAACCCAGGACCAGCAGCCCAGGGATGGCACCACCCACCATGGGCTGGGCCCTCCCCCCATGGATCACTAAAGGAGAAAATGCCTTACAGCTGGGTCTCAAGGAGGCATTTCCGCAGCTGAGGCTCCTTCCTCTGATGACTTTAGCTTGTGTCAAGTTAACACACAAAATCATCCAGGACAGACCCCTTGATCATATCCAGCACCTTTCTACCCTCTCCCTCTCCTCTCCTAGTACCCTTTCTAGTCTCTAGAAGTTTTATACTTTCAGGTCACCTTAAAGATTTTTAAGTATTATTATGTGTGTGTGTGGGAGGGGGAACAAATTTGGGGAGTTGGTTCTCTTTCCCATTTGGGGATCAAACTCATATTGTCAGGATTGAGCAGCAAGTGCTTTTACCCACTGAGCGGTCTTTCAGTCCCATCTTTTATTTTTTTTTAAGTTTCCACATATGATAGAGAATGTGTGATACTTGTCGCTCTGTGACTAGTTTATTTCACTTAACGTTGTGTCCTCCCGATCTACCTATCCATTCTGCTGCAGATGACAGACTTTCTTTACGGACGAATAATACTCTGTTGTGTACATACACTGCTCATTTGCTTGGTCTCCTCATCTGTGGATGGGCACAGAGGCTGAGTCTGCCTCTTAGGTGTTGTGAATAGAATGGTCCTGCAATACAAATGGGTACAGGGTTTTGTACGCTGATTTCATTTCCTTTGTCTCTGCACCCAGAGTGGGATGGCTGTTTCCTGTGGTGGTCTCTTGAATTCGATGTTCACTCCTAGAATAGGAGCAGGAGCATTGTTAGAAGATGTAAACAGAAACACAAAATTCTGCTCTCACACCAGCAAGCTCTGGTGAGATGTTTTGTAACTCCTTAGAGGTTTACAGAAAGGTCCATGAACTTTGTGCCTTTCAAGTTTAGCCTTGCTTTTAATTTGATGTACTGTGTAATCTAAACTGATTTGGTTTTATAGGGTAAGTCTTGGGGCGGAGACCAGGTTTTAACATGTACTTAACAGCTTCTACTGTACTTTTAATTCTTGGAAAATAATAATTAATGGTTAGGCATTGGGTGTTTGGCACAAAACCCTGACTCTAAGTATAATTAACTTTAAGAGCTATTTTGGTAGCTGTTGAAAGTGAGATGTGAAATGCTTTACGGCTTCATAGAAGGAGTCAGAAATCTATCCTGTGCTTGAGACATGTTGAAATATATAATACGTAAGTAGAACTGCCTGATGAATGTGAACTCTGTGTGGTTCAGTGAAAGAGCAGTAGAAATTCCAGAATTAACTTCACAAAAGTCAGATTAAGAGTTTAGAGTCTCTAAACACTCAAAGCAAAATCTTGAAATATGTTTTAAAATGAATATCAGTAAATCTAGTAAATTCTATAATTTATTTGTTTCATAACTTTGCCTTATGACTTTTTTTTTTTTTTGAGACAGGGTTTCTCTGTGTAGCTCTGCACCTTTCCTGAAACTCACTCTGTAGCCCAGGCTGGCCTCGAACTCACAGAGATCGTCCTGGCTCTGCCTCCCTAGTGCTGGGACTAAAGGCGTGTGAAACCACCGCCCAGTGCCTTATGGCTATTTCAACACCATTTTTTGTTTGTTTGTTTGTTTTATGCTCAACTTCCAGATAACTGTGTGCGCACACATGCACGTGTAGGCATGTGTGTGCTCATGCACATACACTTGCGCTGAAGGCACACCTTGCTTTGCCACAGGAACATCTTTAGTTTGCCTCTTGGAGACTCAGTACCGTGTTCTTCAGAACTTAAGAGTATTAAGGAAAGTGTGGAGCCAGGCGGTGGTGGCGCATGCCTT